CCATTTCTTTTCCTTCTCTTTGGGAACCAGACCTTTAAATCTGTCCTGGACTGGACCGGCAGCTTTGGTTAGCGTGGAGCCCTTTCAGTGACCTTCATGGTTGGTTTCTTAGCCATTTATGACTCAGCTACTGGAATCGCTGACGGGAAACATCGGCTAATTTGATTTTGTCTTTTGGGAACATCTTGTGCAACATTTTCCTTCAGCTATTGTTGTCAGTAATTTTGGGCGTGTGTTAACAGTTGGAAAATGCACCGCTGGGGCCCAAAGAAACCAAATCAACCACCAAACTGTACTGACTGTAATAGCTGCCCCTGTATTCTTCAGTTTCCCCTCATTTTTATATCTGAAACTAGGTGTGTTACTGTCTCATGTCACCGACAGTCTGAAATGATTTATTCACATATATCTCTGGTGGTGGCACCAGAATGAGAGATGTGATCAGAGGGATGCACACTAACACATCTGGAGCTGTGGGCCTGAAGCAGCTCACAGGCCTCGCTCGGTGTCTTGCACGCAGCCTTCTCAGGATTTCATGAGAACTTGTTTGCTTTACCAAATTCTCCAGAAATAAGAGAACCTGCACAACGTTTTAAAAACTTTATTAAGCTGTATAAATACATTTACTAGACTCACATCAGTACAGGTAAACATCACAGGTCAGCACAGCCGTTTTAATAGTTTACAGACATGTACAGTACTTAAAACATTACAGTGCCGTATTAAAGTACAGTTACACGTTCGATTTAGTCTCCTTAACAGGAGCAAGTTTTAAAACAAACTGAGCCGAGCAGGTCAGGCCCGAACAGCCTTCACATCACATCAGTGTCGTTTAGAGCTGCGTCAGTTTAGTCGTTTCTAATGTAAACCATGTTATCTTCTCTGACACGTGAAGCTTTTCTGTTTTACTTGTTTGAGACAGCTGATTAGACAAACCGAGACTTTTGAAGACGACTTTGTTTTAGTGCCGTTCAAAGACCAAACCATTAACTGTTTAAATAACTGGTACAATGATGAGTTTCAGTGCATATACAGAGGAGAAAAGAAGAGCCGGGAGAGATAAGTGGGTTGCATTTCAGCTGAACACTACATGTAAGTCAGCTCTGCTGCACATCAACACTTTTTTGAAAGAGTCTCGTCCTCTTCCTGTATACTTCTCATGTTGTTCAAAATGCAGTGCAGCCATTGTAGTCGCGCTGACGAGACAGTCACTTTTTACAGGAGATAACATTTCTACAGAATATGAACTTACAGCAACACTGCTGGTTTTACATGTTAACCTCATATTTCAGGCTTCTAGTTTTATTGCTCCGTCTTTGTTGGCGTTTCTGTCCCGGCCTGCTTCCATCCCACGCTCGGGTCTGGTTTGAGGATGATGAAGAAGAGAATTAAGGCTTCCAGGGTTCAATGTTAGTCTTTTTAGTGCTTCTGGACTCAATGCATGGCTGGCGTCGGGGCGATCTGCTCCGCCGGTCCGGTATCTGCTGCTCCTCGTGCTGAGCTGCTCATGGCTCCGTGGTTAAGGGTGACCAGCGGCAAAGCGCTCAGCAGGGCCTTCTCCAGCTTCTGCTCCAAAGCATCCAAGCGGCGGTCCATGTGCTCCTTCAGCCTCTTCTCCATCTCCTCCAGACGGCGCTCCATAGCTGAGTCCAACTCCCTGAAGGGACATAAAAGAAACAGTAAGACTTTTTGAGAAAGTTGGACTTAATAAAATCTGTGTGTATCAGCCGCTGGCTGTATACCTCCGATTTATGAGGAGGTATACAGCTGAAGCCACTGTCAGACAAGTTGAAGTGTGCAAGCACTGAATTAAAATAAAGGGGACTATTTAAGGTCAGTCAAACCTTTGCCTGATCATCACTAATCAGAGATGAAGTTTTTTGACCAGGTCGCTGGTCTGTATGTGTATTTCTACTGTGTGATTCTGACAGAGCGGAGTGACTGTGGGCGATTCTTGAAAATGAAGCCACATCAAGAGACAAAAGCCTAAACATAAGCTAAACCACCCACACAGTCGGTGCTGACCATCATCTTCCTCAGACCTCACAATCCTGCTGCATCCACACTGATTCAGCCAAACCACCAGGAGGAAACTTTCTAAACTGAAAACACTAAAAAGATAAATAAAT